AAGAGGACTGAAGGGAGTCAGGGCGAGAGAGTGGAAGGGAGACAGATATGGGGGAGAGAGAGAAAGTGAGAGAAGCAGCGGGAAACCCAGCAGCCATTTCTCGGGCTTTGAAACTTCACTGATACCTCAACTTCAAAAGAACAAGATCCAAAGGAAAAAACAGTGCGGCAACGTCGGAATCAGCAAAAGACACAAAAACAGTAATCCATGCTCTGAGAAACATCATGGAAAATTCATAATATGCCTTCAAAAATAATTTTTAATGGAAAATTCATAATATGCCTTCAAAAATAATTTTTTAAAAAAAAAAACAGAGAGAGAGAGAGAGAGAGAGTACTCAGGGCTGCCAAACTCGAAGAGCTTTCCACGGCTGGAGAAGATGATTAGGGCGACCTCAGCTTCACAGAGAACAGAGAGCTCAAAAGCCTTCTTCATAAGCCCATTTCTGCGCTTGGAGAAGGTTACCTGTCTGTTAATCTTGTTCTCTATCAGCTTCAGCTCTACTCTGCCTCTCCCCATCTTCTTCTTCTTTTTCTTCTTCTTCTTCTTCTGTTGGCTTTCTCTGATATAGGAATGTCTATACTATTTATGGACTGGTTATTTTTATTACTGTTTTTAAATTTCACTTTTATTATTTTTTTCATTTCCTTCATAGTCCTACTCTTGGTTTGGGACAAAAATAAGCTCTTAAATGTGGAAAACTATGTACATGATGAAGGCTACAAGTCTAATTCACTACAAGACCTAAAAGTGCCAACTTGTGGTTGAATATCCACACCTTCTTAGCCTTCTCCTCCTCTATTATCCCCACTTGCCTCTTTTTATCCCATAGCCAACACACCTATTTCTTTCCCTAAATTTCTCTTTCTTTCCATCTCTCTAATTTTGTCCCTCTTTCTCATGGAAATGTGTTTGTAGGGTATAGACCATGCCACTATTGAAGAGGCTACTCAGTGTACGAAGAGAGTAGAGTTAAAGAGAGAAAAAAAACATACTTTTGTCCAACGTGGTTGATAATTAGTAATTTTTTGTCTAAATGTGGTTCAAATTTTAGCTTTTTATAGTTTTAAAATTTTCTTTTTTTTTTCTTAGCATAAATCTTCTCTTGATGTTTAAGAAATTCTTGTGCGTTTGTTTGTCTAAGAAAGTTGTATTGATAGAGAATTTTCTTAAGCAAAAGAGGATTTTTATTACTATAAAAAAATAATGAAGTAGTGAGCTTTTTAAAGCTTGAAGAGGAGTTTCTTATGACAGTTAAATGTTTGTCTTTAATGGAGATACAGAAATTCATATTTCAAAAGTCTTAATATACTAATTTTCTTCTTATGTAAGTTATTAATCATAGAATTTTGATATATTTTTTTATTTTTACTATGTGTATTTCTAACTATTAAATTATTTATAATTATAAGATTATTCAAATAGTAGAAAATTAACATGAAAATATAAAATAATTGAACTTGTTTGTAACTATGAGGACTATTAAGTGTATTTCTGCAAAATAATAGTAATAATAATAATAATAATAATAATAAGGATGATGTTGATGATAAGATCAATTTTTTTTGCCTAAACCCTAAGAGCTTTTATATCAAAAGTAAGAACAAAGTCTTGTTTGTGCCTAAGAAAGTTTCATTGATTGATAGCTTATTTTATTATGTAGAAGATATTTTTTATTAATAAAAATAAAAAGTACATGAGCATTAAGATCCTTAATGTTAGGAAAAGAGTTTCTTATGTACATCCAAAAGTAGATTAAGGTTATGATTGGGCAGTTTATTTGGTGCGGTGGCGTTTTGAAAACACACCTTGCCTTTTTGAGTAAACAGCGTTTTGGCAGCTTATGCGTTTTCAAAACGCTGAAAACAACGTTTTCACACCGCAGGCACCTTTCTAACTGTGGTCTGGATTTTCCAAAAAAAAAAATAAATTTATAATAGCTACAGCACCTAGCTTATCAATAGATTATTTTTAATCAGCTTATCAGCAGATTATTCAATAAGATGCAGCTGCCCCAAACAGACCTAAACCATACAAAATTCAATAAAAGAAGAACCTTTGTCCCAAAAATACAAATGGCCAAATAAAAACCAAATAAAATGGAATTAATATAAATCAGAGAAAACCACATAAACAATATTACTAATATTAGTCAGTTTTCAAGTGAGCTACTACTCTAAGAATATTTGATTGAAGCTCTAATATTGTGAGAAGATCTCCCATTATTTTTTTTCCACTATGACAACTAAAAATTTATAATAGCTACCGCACCTAGCTTATCAACAAATTAGTTTTAATCAGCTTATCAACAGATTATTCAATAAGCTACAGCTTATCAGCAGATTATTCAATAAGCTGTAGCTGCCCCAAACAGACCCTAAACCATACAAAATTCAATAAAAGAAGAACCTTTGTCCCAAAAATAAAAATGGCCAAATAAAAACCAAACAATGTGGAATTAATATAAAACAGAGAAAACCACATAAACAATATTACTAATATTATTCAGTTTTCGATTCAAGTGGGCTACTACTCTAAGAATATCTAATTGAAGTTCTAATATTGTGAGAAGATCTCCCATTAATTTTTTTTTCCATTATGACAAAATGACAACTAAGTTTAAAATTGTCTTAAATTATCCATAAAGGCATCTTCTTTTATTATATTTATATATATAAAGTGAAATTATAATTGGGAAAATCATATATATGACTAAATTATTTCTCAATCTAAACATGATTCTCTAAAATTATATGGGTCATGGAAGCTAATTCCACAATGAAAGCAATTATTAGCACTTGATCCTTGCATAATGTTGAATATGTTGTAATTAAGCTGTCATTACTCTTTAATTTAAATAAGTAATGAATCAAGAATCTATTGATATAAAAGAGGGATTTGCTTACCTTATTTATTAACAAACTAGTAGATAGTAATGGGAGAATGATTATGTGATAATTAAGAAAAGAGATTGATGTCCCATTATTTGTTTGGATCACTGAAGGTGCGTGATTAAAAATACATATAGATAGGATGGTAGGAGAGTTTGAGATACCAAAATTTGATTTTAATTTCATTATAAATTGATAAATTATGCATAAATATTCAGTATTAAGAATAAAATTTATGAGTCACATAATCATGTATTTATGAACCATCTCAAGTAATATTGAAAAGTTGATGAGTACTAATGATTTCAGCTAGCACTCTAACAAAATAAGTCCTAATAAGAGAAACTATAGAGGTATAAATTAAAAGAGATTTTTCAAATAGAGAAGCATAGTAAATAAATTTTAATATTAAAAAGGCAAATTTTACGACGCAGAAATGAATACTTATTTGGTGTAATAGTGCATACATTAACTAAGTCAAAATTATGAGAAAATTTATCTAATCTCACGAAAAACCATCAATTTATACTATTTGGTGCAAAAACAAAGTTGTGTAGTCAATTTTATCAAAATTCAAAAAATATTCTTAGTGTCCAATAATTTTAAAAGATAATTCATATGAGCATCGAGTTAATAAGAACTATTTGATGAATTGTAAAAGTGGTATATACAACAATTTCATACCAATTAATTAAATGAGTGCATGCCATAGATTCATGATAAAATACAAATCAATTATTTAAGGATCTAAGAACAACATATATAGGCGAGGAATCTAATAGCTTAATCATAAACCCATTGGCCTAGACATCGATTGACTAAAAGGAAAAGAGTGACCTTGACTCCATGGAATAGGCCAATGTGGTAGAATGATTGCACCAATAAAAGCTAACCTTCTATGAGATATATTGAATACTTTAGAGAAAATCAAATGGTACACATCAATGATTGGCGTGAGGTTTAAGAGTTAGACATGAACATAAGAAAGAGCAATCCAAAAAAAAAAAAAGAAATAAAAGAATAGGGATGTGCAAGACAATTAAACCAAGATTAAAACTTAAACACATGTAATTTTAGGTAAAAATTTGTGATTCTCAGAGGAGCTCAAGGCCTTAAAAGCATATTAAGTTAAGTATTATAAGTCTAGGTTGGGTTGTATAATGGCAGAGCTATCAAATTTCTTACTCTCTTTTGAAGTGTATTGTGGTACTCGACCATACTGACCTTTCTAGTTTATACTTCATTAAGTTGTTTGTTTTTTTTTGTATATTTCATTATGCATGTGCATATAGAGCGCTAAATACCTTATTTATAATAGCAGAGCTATGTTATAAAATTTTCTTTTGTTTGTGTATATAGAAAGCTTAACACTGCCATTGTCGGGACCTTCTCGCATAAATGTAAGCCCTAATTAAGAAAATCAGCATAATGAAATATTCAATAATTTTCTCCCGAAATTGAAGTCAAACCTTATGATAGTTTGGGAAGTCATTGAGATTCTCCTCAGGATCTGTGACAACCCCTAGTTCTTCTTCCTTTGGATTCCATAATAAATATTCTAAGTTTGAGTCTCTCCCATTTGAGACTCCTTGGTCTGATTTTTGCAAATTCCTATCCTTTTGAATTCTTGGAGACAATAATTTCTGATCTAAATTGAGAGTTTTATTAAGTGACTTCGGTCATTTAAGATGTAATTGACTGTAGGGTTTGCCTCTATAGGAAGCTTTAAGAACCTAGATAATATAAACCTTGTCTAATTGTTTGTATTAGATAAAAAAAATTTATCAGCTTATATAAATGGTTCGCAGACCAAACAGATGTCATAAAATCATTAATTTAATCGTAAACTCTTTAGTTTATTTAACAGAGCATCACCATCAAGTAGTGTATTTATCCTTCGAGGTAGATATATTTCTTGTGCTGTTTTACTAGATCATTTAAACTATTGCAGATATGAGATGAGTTTGGTTTTGTATTTTTTTAAAAAAATTGAAATATTAATTTTTATAAATTATATTTTCTAAAAAACAAAAGATATATATATATATATATATATATATTAAATTAAATTAAAACAAAACCTAAAATTAAACTGAGATATAAGCCCGCCGACAATGACTAATCAAACCGCAAACCCCTAATGAACCCAGGACTATGAAATCATGGGATCTTTACATGGTTATTCCAAACATAAAAAATAAACACAAAATGACAACAAAATTTTAATCGGCTAATAAGTCTTAAACAACCTAAAAATTTTAACCCCTAAAATCCAAAAAAATATATTAAAACTTAAACGAAACCATAATGAACAAAGATCATCGAACACAACTTGAAACCCTTTACCTGGGTCTATGAAGATCTCTTGGACAACGCAACCCATGGTTGCAGACAAAAATCTTCTAGTCAGAGTAGGTTTGACCGCCTCTCAGACTAAGTAGATCAGGGAACCCGACGACCCCGAGAGGACGGAAAGTCATGGGCATCTTGACCGTGTTGTCCTAAATAAAAACAACAACCAACCAACTAAACTAAAATATTTTATGCAAACTATGTTTTGTAGGGCTGTCAAAGATAAAAGACAGACATTACCCTAGATTTACTTTGCATGCTATTAGGGTGTGTTAATTCTGTCTTGTAGATACTTATATTTAAAAATTGGAACAAAAGACAAAGCTCAATTAAACTATTGACAACAAATCAAAACCATAGGATAGATTGAGATCTTGACAGGATTCTTTGGAACCCTCAAGAATCCACTACGCTTAGGACAGGACTTTGAAACTCCTTCCTTTAAAACAACGACTCTTGAACTTTCTGAGGATGAGTAACAACCTTAATCGACAGTTTTCTTAAGCAATCCTAGCGTAAGAATGCAATTAACTATATGGGTTGCTCTTATAGAGAGAAGTGAATCCTAGAATAAGTACAATAACTTTAATCTCTGGTTGTGGGTTCGCTTTTGTCATGTCTTCTTCATGACTATGTCTTCAAAGTATCTTAAGTCGATCTTGCCTCGGACGAACACTTTGGAGTTATTCTTGTGAAAGCCACCTCACAAAAGTTTCCCACATGTTTCTTTTTTTTGTCCTCGTCATTGTATGCCTTAGCCCTCGGATCTCTTCTCTCTTCAAATCACCAACACGATCAGAGAGAGAGAATTTTTCAGAGAGAGAGGCTACATGAGGGAAAACAAGCTAGTGACTCCACAACAACAACACAAAAAAAGCAGAATGGCAGCTGCGTGCTGGTGGATTGGTGATCATCCCCCAAAATGTAATTAATCAAAGAGATACATTCATTTGGAAATTGCTCTTGACCCCAGAACAAAAATATTCTTTTTGGTTCTTTGGTTATGAGTTGCTTATGTTGGGATTCTTTTCATGGATATTGTCTTTTGAGAAACTTCATTCTGATTCTATTTTGGACGTATACTCTCAATACATCATGGTAGGTTTACCTTACATAAGCTCTTCATGTTTCTTTTTTATTTGTTCATCTATTTTCATCCTATATTATCATAATTATTCCTTTCTTCTCTGGATTATTTTTGATGATCTGGGAGAATATTTAGTCGAAAGGAGAAATAATACGACCATATATATATATATATATATATTAAACAGGTTGGCGGCTTTGAGTTAAAAATAACTGAAAATAGAGATGCTAGTGTTATTTCATATGAATTACATGTCTTCTTTATTTATTGGCTTTCATATTTGAGGCACTTACATTCATACCACCCATTTCTTTCTACGTATTTACATATTTAACATAAACTTCAATTTTTGCACTTGTACTACAAAGTGCAAATGTAAAAAATTAAGTTTAGGTGTTAGATATATAATTAAATAGAATTGAGTGATATGTATGTAAATCTTTATAATATATATATATATATATATATATATATATATTTGTTATTCTATGTGCAGTTTATCGAAAACTCTTATAATCATAAAAATTAATTAAAATAAATTTTTTTTTTGAATTAACATCCGCTAAAAAAATGTTGCAAAGACTGATGCTGCTAGTCTTGCCAGCTCTACTAATTAGTAGTGCTTAAAGACATTACAAGGAAATAACAGTTAAAGCCGCTGCAGAATTCAACACCGCAAAAATCTTTCCAAATTATTTTAAATTGTTGTTAAAAGCCTTTGCTGTGCTAACAGTTGTAGTAGTTTAAAATCCCTGTAATAAAAAAAAGCAAAAACTTTTAAATTTTTGTGAAAATTCCTTTTGTTTAGTAGTAAATTTATGAATAGCATTGATCATGTTGAAAAATTTAGGGCGAAACAACGCAAATCTACAAGAAGAACACAAAGAGATTTAACGAGGTTCGACAAAGATGCCTACATCCTCGGGAGCAGAGCGTCAAATTCACTGTTTTAGAAGAGTTACATACCCATAGAGTTATAAATCTATTTATAGATAAAACCCTCAGATAAATTTACAACACGCCCTCGCTCCCCCCAAGAGACACACCTCTTCACACCAAGAGACACTCTGTTTCATTCCACGAGACGTACCTCTCCATTTCAAGATACTCCAAATTTTTTGGTATATGAGTCATACCTAACAATTCTCCATCTTGAAGAATATCCAGCTCTTTAGGAGAAAAACATCATTGAGTTTCTTACGAAAAAGTTGGTTGGGCAACCATGTCATCTTGCAACTACAAACATTCAACAAGTTCAAGTAACACAAGAACTTGTTGAAAATATTTAGTTTGGTTAACTTTCCTACTACATTTTCAGCATATGATCCGACAGAGTGAACTCCACCTACAACTGTACTCCCCAACAGTTTATAGATATTACCATCAGGTTTGCTCGCAATGTCTTCAAAATTTTCAAAATTTCTTGTTGTGCCAATAAATCTTTCACCCTTGTTTGCCACAATCCAAAGTTCTTTGTTTCAACGAACTTCATTATCTCAAATTTTGCACCGGATATTGCCCTTTAAAATTAATCATGCAATGAAATTTTCCTGCCTTGTATTGAAACAAAACACATCACAAATAAATTTAAAGAAACCTGAAATTTTCTCTGTCAATTACAGCAATTTTCCCGTAATTTTCTGTGATTTGTGAATCAAATTTTTTTCACACGAAGCACCTTTCCAATTCGCACAAAAAATTCGGCCTAAATATTGCAAACACTAGCCGAACTCCACCTGTCACAATTTCTCCTTGACAAACCTGCGAATAATCCACAAAATTTATGAACTCCACCTGTCATAATTTGTCCTACGACAAACTTACGAACTCTACGAACTTCGCTAGCCGAACTCCTACGTTACTCTGTTCGCAAAACAAGTCTCATGTTCACGGAACCAAACTCCACCCGACAAACTGCTCCATGTGAACTCGCTCTACTGTCTGCAAACACCTGACAAACTGCTCCCTGTTCGTGTCTGTTCGCGCGTTTGATTTGCTCCGCGAACTATCGCAGTTCTTTCCCAAACTGCCTCACACCTGGTCGTTCATGTGAGCCAGTCTACCTTCTCTGCGGCATTCTAAAGATTCCCTCTCTTCTTTCCTTCTGCGACCTTCTTAAGCACTTCTTCTCTGCAAAAATCCTCCCACGACAAAACCTTGCCAAACTCTTCGCGAACTCCCTTGCGAAACTGCTGCAGAACTGTTCACAAAGCTTTGTCGAACTCCTTGCGTCGTCGCAACTCTTTCTGCTCACCAAAATTCGTAACCATCGTGAACTCTTCCTCACGTCTGCAATTCGCAAACCCTGGCACTCCTCTGCGATTTTTTACTGCAAAGCTCCTTGCGAACTCTAGGTGCAGGCTATCGCAAGCCTTTCTACTCGAGTTCACCCTCGTGAATCCTTCTCTGCGGAAGAGGAAGAGGTTAGTGCGAACTGCTTCCCGAAAGGCCTGAACTTCTCTCCGTCTGCTCTGATTCGCTGCCCTACGCGAACTGCTCCTGTGGTAGAGACCCTTCGATCGCGAACTAATCCTCTGTTGCGATCCAACTGTCGTGATTCGCCCTGAAAATGCAGCGAACTGCTTCTTCCTCCCTGGAAAATCCTCTCGACTGCGGAAGACGCACCGAAGCGATCCTCTGTTCATCGAAACCTTCTCCTTCGCCAACACTTTTCGTCTGTCGCGAATCGCAAATTCTGCGAACTCCTCTCGCAGGCCCTATCACGATTCTTCTAGCAAAACCAAACTCCTTCCAAATTTCCTGATATATGAGTCATACATAACAAATCAATACTCATTTCAACAAGAATGTCAGCAACACACTTCATTTGAGAGAAACATTTACTTCTTAACACAATAACACTTTCCTCCATAAACAAAACCACAAGCAAATCACAAGCTCTCCTAAATAGATACACAGCTCTATGAAATGCAACCAACATAGAAATTACATACATATATAAAAACATAAACCATGCACCACATACACATAAATTTACACTATGCCATGCTTACCAAGTCCGGAAATACCACTGAAATTAAAATCAAACAGATCAGTAGCTCGCAAGCAAATACTGAGATGCCTTCTCATACTTGAAGCCATTTTTCATAGAATCATCAGCAGACCATATAAAAATCCCCTGCAACTTTCCCTCCCTCTTTAAACTCTTACACGCACCAAAGAATCCATTCTCCGGCTTCAATCCTCCACTGCCCGAATCAGTTCCAAAGCTCGCAAGCACTCTCCCTCCTTCATATTTCCCTCTCTGGGTCTCAAAATAGCTCAAAAATTGAGGCACAGTCGTGCTCGAATCATAAGCGTAGAACTGAAAATTCACATAGTCTATATGCTTCCCATACTTTTTCCAAAGAGCGAGATAATGTTTCTCGACATCTTCGTCGGCGAAAGGAGCGATGGAAGCAAAAGATATGACGCCATTGTTCTTCAGAGTCACAATCAGCTTCCCAATACATTCGGCGAAGGTGTCGGAGTCGGCTCTGAAATGCTCGTAGTCAATGTCGATGCCGTCCAGATTGTAGCGCCGAATGATGGCGGTGAGAGATTTGACGGCGTTATCGACCCAGGAGTCGACAGAGGATGGGTTGAAGTAGGCGAAGCCGTGGCCGACGGAGTCGCCGCCGAGACTAACGGCTAACTTTGCTCCGCTTCGGGCGGTGTTTGT